CGAGTCCTTCGGGAGGGAGCCTCCTACCACTCCACTCACCTCTCCGCCGCCGCCGCCGCCGGGAAGAACTCGCGGATCTTCGACGACTCCGACTTCGGGTTCGCGTCGGCGGCGCCCCCGTGCGGCGCGTTGTCGTCGTCGTCGTTGCCGCGGCGACGCGCACGCGGGCTGCGCTTGCACGGGGCGTCGCCGAGGAAAAGACCGTAGACGATGTCGACCGTCTCCTCCGAGATCAGGTCCCCGAACGTGCCCTCGACGGCCGCCCGCACCGCCGGGTCGAGGCGCGGCTCGGACGCGTCGAGTCGCGCCTCGGGCGAGTCCTCCACGGTCGTCTCGGTCGAGGCGCCGACCCCCTCCTCGTGAGAAGCACCGTTACGGCTATCACAACCCGACCTCGCGCCGCCGCCGCCGCGCGCGCGATCAGAGGCAATCGTCACGGGTGTCTCCTGCTCCTCCTCCTCCTCCTCCTCCTCCTCCTCCGCGTGTCTATCACAGTTTACAGCAGTCGCCGACTCCCTCCTGGCTGACCCTCCCCGGGGTGTCTCCCCCTCCCCTCCGCACCGTTCCGCCTCCTCCTCTGACTCGCTGTGGAGTCCCGAGTCCTTCGGGAGGGAGCCTCCTACCACTCCACTTACCTCTCCGCCGCCGCCCCCGCCCGAGGAGGAGCGGGGGGAGCGGGCGCCGCAGTTGCTTTCGTCGTCGTCGTCGTCGACGTCGCCGGCAGCGGCGACCTTCCCCTCGATGACGTTTTCGAGGATCTCGGAGAAGCTCTCCTGCATCGCGATGAAGTTCTGCGCGGCGATGAAATCCTCCTGCGAGTCCGAGTCCGCGATCGTCGTCTCCACGCCGTCATCCTCCTCATCCTCGTCGTCCTCGACGCAGCAGCAGTCTCTGTCGTCGTCGTCGTCGTCGTCGTCGTCGGCAACGACCGTCGCGTCGGACGGGCTCACGTGCGCGCTGCCGCTGCCGCCGCCGCCGCCGCCGCCGCAGCAACGAGTTCCGTAGAGAACGTCGACGAATTCCTCGCACTCCGGGTGGTCGAGGTAGAAGCGCTGGATGAAGTCGGTGGCGTCGGCCCGCGCGTACGCGCGTACCAGCGTCGGCGAGTCGGCGGTCGTCGTCGCGGCGACGATCGGCTGCTCGGACGAGCACAGCGCCCTCTCTAGCTGATAGAGCTCACTCGTGCTCAGCGTCCACAGCAGCTCCCTGTGCGGGCGGCGAGGCGAGGAGAGAGACGACGCAGAATTAATACGGGTGGGACGGGAATTCATACGGGGAAAGGGAAGTAAAAGTTACGCACGTATGCACGCACGCATGTATGCACCCTAACGACAGTTCGACATGCTGTTTACTAGTTGGTTGTCGGTTTGCTCGGGTTTTTAATTCTGGTTCTTCTTACAACTGGTAACAAAGTCAAGCAGAAACTGAACGTTTGTTCACTCGGCGCAAGACCGAATTACTAAAGGAACGTCAACTGTGCTGCAGGCACGCGTGCACGCACGCACGTACACACATTTACAGATCCACAATCGCCTTAATTTGCAAATATACGGAAAAGCTCTGTAAACTAAGATTTTTTCGCGAAGCGTCACTCGTGCACGCGGCATAAAAAATGAACTGTACTACCATTTTAAATCTTTATGTAACCGACTCAACGTGTAAATATTTACAAGGTTCGCCGCAGCAACACCAATGCGTTTGCTTGCGGGGCGCTGCCAGCGACACCACCAAGGAGTTACCAGGCTTCGCCATCTGAGAAAACCACAGGGCCTAAAAAAAGGCCCCGTCATTTATTCGTCGGGGCTGATTTTTTTAAACTGATGAATTATGTAATAAAAGCTTTGTTACATTCATATGAGTTGTTATTAGGCTTATTCCCTACTATTTGGTATATATTAATTTATGAAAATATGTTCAACATCATGATAAAATACTTGGCTGACCAGGTACATTGACGGGGCCAGAAAAAAAGCCTTGTGGACACCGGAGACAGGGGCTGTTTACGGGGCTTGGGCCGATCGGCCGAGTGAAAAGGCGAAGCCTGAGTTACCGTAACATATGGCAATGCATATAGTACTACCGTTCTGACAGCCGAGCAATTGTGAATTTCGAATTCCGGAACAAATTTGAGGCCCGTTGTCAGAAACAAAACTAGTCTCAACATTAACTTTTTCTCGTAAACCATCGACAGAAACTCGTGGTAAAGCTATGAGTTTCTCACACGCAGTGTATGGAGGTCAGGCCTACGAGAAAAAAGTTAACGTTAAAGTTAGACCAATGTTGAGACTAACTTTGTTTCTGACAACGGGGCCCTGGCGCGAGGGTTTTGAACCGCAAACCCGTAACACCGAGGAGAAACAAGACAACGTGCATATAGTCTGTACCTCGCCCCAGCCCTGTTCGCCACGAAGAGAGAAAGAACTAAGAAGAAGAAGAAGTCCGTACCTGGCATGCGACGCTTGCGTCCGGTCGCTGGCCGCCGCTGCGGGAGAGTTCTTGCTGGAGGCAGGGTGGCGGTCACACGCTCGCTCGCGCCGAGTGCGCCCCGCGCCGCGCGCCCCGCCACAGCTCTCCTTCACGCAGTTCCTGTCGCCCCCTGGCGGCTCGCACCGCTGCTGCCCGCCGTGCTCCGACGCGTCGTCGGGCGGTTGCCGGGGAAGCTTCCCGCTCTCCGGAGAGCAGCTCGCGTCGCGTCGTGACCTCGTGGCACTTGGGGAGATGGCAGGATTCGCGGCGGCGTGCTCCGCAGCGGCGCCGCCATCGAGCGCCGACGCCGTCTTCAGCGGCGCCGAGTCCGACCCTGCGCCGTCGTCGATGGCGCCACCTAGTTCATCACTATGCGCCCCTCCTCCGCCGCCGCCGCCGCCGCCGCGGGAGCA